CCTCCGCCCGCGCCGGTCCCCGGCCGGGCATGCGCACTGCGGCCTCCCTCCCGGTGAAGGTCAGCCCAGGGCCCAGCTGCAGGACTGCGCGGCGGCCGGGGGAGGCGGCGGAGGGAGGAGGGATGCGGGAAGAGACTTAACTCCTTCTCCGCGGGAAGATGGCCACCCTGGCCTGGGCCGAGCGCGGAGTCCGCGCTCCCGCCTTCTCTGGAGGTCCCGCTTCGGGGACACAGCTCAGGGGGAGCGGGAGGAGGAGGGGCGCGGGGGGAGAATGGAAGAAGGGAGGCTGGAAGGAGAGCAGGGAAGCTGGCGAGGGGAGAGGGAGGAAGGGAAGGGAGGAACAAAGGAATCTAGGCTGGAAGGAGAAAGGGTGGCGCGGGAGAGACCTCTCCGCGCTGCCCCTTCCCCCTACACCCCAGCCAGAGAGCTTCCCTTCGCGGAGCAGCGTTCCCTGCACGGGCTGGGGGTTGTATGAGAAAGACAGCGACCACTTGGGGCTCTTGGGCGGAGCAGAGACCCCTGATCTGTGTTCCGGCTCCCTGAACCGCCCCCCCCCCAATTTCCTCTGGTCACAAACCCTGGGCACCCAGGTAGCTCCCACCCAGCCTACAGGTCTGGCCTAAGCCCCAGCGCACCCCCACCCGATGGGACTCCAGCTAGACTTCGGGGCCAGGCCAGCCATGGATGCAGGAGGATACCCGCACCTCAACCCCCACCGCCCCAGAGGGGCGTAGGTCCTCCTCCCACGCCCCCCTCCCCCAGCTCCTCTCAGGCCAGAGCATCTAGGGGCCTCCTGTGGGTGTCAGGATGTTCCTGGGACACCCACTCTTCTCTGGAGGCGGCTGTCTGTCCCCGACTTTGCCTCTGTGTTGTTCGCACTTAAGAGAACTAGGATAGAAGGAAACCAAAAACAAAAGGTAGAGGCCCAAAGGCACCTGGGGTCTCTGCCCCTCAGCTCCCCGGGGGAAAAGGAGGGGCTGAGGCCAGATTCCTAGAGACCATCCTGCTCTGAGATCACGGACGGCCCCCCAAGACAGAGTGAGGAGCCTGGCAGGCTGGAGGGAAGGGCAGGAAGAGGGAGGGAGCAGGGAGCCCCTGAGAAGCAGACCACACCCAGTAGTGGGTGCTGCCAGCGCAGGTCAGCACCCCTCCAGGGACCCCCTGCCCCTCCCCCCTGGCTTCCACACTGCTGTCCTGAGTCACCCCCTGGGCTGCCCTGCTCCCTGGGCAGAAAGGACCTTACCTTGGGGTCCCCGGGCTCCTGGGCTGCAGGCAGGTGCATGGCAGAGGTTAGCCGAGTGGACACTCCTCCCTGCTCCCCGAGCCTGTGTGGGTTTCCTCAGGCTAGTGGGATGCTCCTTGACACCCCTCCCGCCCACACACACAGTGAACTGCAAACATCGGGGAGCTGCTGGCGCTGGTCGCAGGAGGAGGGAGAGAGGGTTCTGGGCTGAGCCGGCCCAGAGGGGAGACACGTGTAGCCCCACAGCTGAGTTCTCTCGCCCCCTCTCTCCCACCAGTGAGCAGGTGGTCTCAAGCAGCAGGTCATGCCCAACGGCCACGACACCTCCAAAACCGATTAGAGCACAGGGCTGGTTTGTGGTCGCGTCTGTGTGAGACCTGCAGAGGGGCTCCAGCTGCCCCAGC